CTATGCGGATGCCGAGCCAATAAGCTCCATTCACAAACCTTCTAGTCAGATTTCTAATACAAATAGCTTCTGATCACCAGTTAGTTCACAGATAAAATACAAATGAAAATAAAAAAAGCAACTTGGACTAAACTTTTTTAAAAATTCAAAATATTCTGATTGATGTGAGTATGAATATGAATACATCTTATAATATATTCATGATATAATAAACCTATGGGGGAAAAAACCCAGAATGCTTTAAAGATGTACATTCAGAGGACACAAAGAAGAGCCCTTGGATATTAAAATATAATAATAGAAATGGAAAAGTTTAATAGACATTTTGGAAGATAAAGTTGGGGAAAGCTTACAGAAAGTAGAGCAAAAGATAAAGCTATGGAAAATAGAACAGGTGGAGGACAGGAAAATTAGTGAAACCAGTCCATAAAATCTAGAAAGAAAAAAGGAGAGAGAGGAAACTAACACACAAATAATTCAAGAACCTTCTTAGAACTGAAGCAGAACATTTCCAGAATGAAATGGCTCACAGTGTGTTTGTGATAATAAATGAGAAAAGGCCCAGCACTAGACACAGCATTGTGAAGTTTCAGGATATCGAATACAAAATAATGAAACTAATAATACAAATATTCATATTAAAATTAAAGTTCACATTTTATTGATTAAAATTAAAAGTCCATATTTCATTGAAAAGATCACTAATCAATTTTTTTGGTAAGGCCTGGAGGTTAAGAGCATGAACTTTCCACCCAGCTCTCCTGGATTCTAATCCCAGACTGTATTTATGAGACTCTGGTGAAGTTACTACAACCCTGTGTCTCCGCTTCTGTATCTATGAAATAGAGATTAGATGTAGCATCTGCCTCACAGGTTTGTTGTAAGAATTATGAATGTGACTGACAGTGCTGAGAAAAATATCAGTTTTTGTTATTGATCTTCTTACTAGCAACTCTGCCTCCAGCCAACTATTAGTTAAGTATGTGAGTAAAAAAATTTAAATTTCAGACACAGCCTCAAAAATTTTACCACCTATGTTCACTGTCTCAGGAATATGTTCTGCCAAAACAAAGAAGGACACTAAGACAGAGAAAGACATGGAACCCAGGAAAAAGGAAACCCCATGCCAAAGATAAAATGGAAATCCTTGGGATAATTGGGAAAAGAGATTCCAAAACAACAGCTAAGTTTCAGCCAGTCCAGATGTAGGAAGTCAAAGGCCTGTGGGAGGCTTTGTTTAGGAAGATAAAATTGGCACTTAATGTATATGTGTGCATTAGAAGGAGATTTGCACAACAGGGGAAGTGTTTGTGATTAAAAGAATTATACATACATAGGAAGCTAAGAATAAACAATAACACCACCTGAAAAAAAACAATTAAAATAATTACAGAAAACTAAAACTTGTTCAGAAAAGGAAAAGTGATAACAGTACCCAATATGACTCAGAGGGTCTCATGGTTGTGTGGTCATAATACTATATACACTACAGTGACATACCAAAATTATGATAAAAGTCTGTTGGGAAGAAAAGGGGAAGAAGAAGCATGTATGTGTATAATAGGGACAGAGGCAGTGAAAGGAAGATAAACTGAAGTCAATATGTAATGCCTAAAACTGAAAAATCAAATTTGTTTGTTTGTTTTTTGAGTTGTAGAAGAATGGAGGCAAATATCCCAAGAATCAGTTAAGAAAACTAAAAGTAGCTGCCCCTAGGAAATAGAAATTGGGAAGAGGTAGAGTTCTACTCTTTTTCTGTAATAAGCTTTGTACCACAAATATGACTCTAAGTTATGATCATGTATAGCGTTGATAAAAATTAACACTGAATTTAAAATAAACATTACCTAAAAAAATTAAAGCACAATTAAGTTAAATAAGACATTTGCTAAAGGTCACAGAATTTGAAAGTGGAAAATCTAGGATTCAATACCCCACTTCTTCATATATAGAGAACTTCATTTTAAGGGGTTACTTTTGAGTGACTATTTTCTAATTTATTTAGGTAGGCCTCTATTATTAACCATTTAAGTTCCCTCGGAATTTTCAGTATTTTTCTGTAACAAATTTCCTTATATCCTCAAACTTGAATCTCTGACAAAATAACTGATGTTTTCATTTAGATAAATATATAATGTAGAACTCCTTTGTTAAAAAGGCTATGAACTCTTAAAGCCTTATATATATTCATATATATTCCCAAGTTATTTTCCAGAAAAATTCTATCAAAATACTCTCACACCAGGAGTAAAGTAACTGTCTCAACATACTCTGACCAACATTAAGTATTAATTTTCAACTTTGTTATTTAGGATAAAGAAAATATAATTCTATTGACATATCAAAAGAAAAATTAGTTTCTACTTATATGAATAGCAGCCTAGTTATCAGAAAATTTTAGTGAGTTGCTATAGGCACAGCATAGGCCTCAGTCACCAGGATCCTCCTTGGGGCTCTTGCCTCTAAGCAGGATATATGGAAGAAAATGTGCTGTCACACAAGTTATGCAATACAAACTTTATTACACTTGGTCTCATAACAATATGCTTTATTCTGAGCTGAGGAAAATCAATTATCTTACCCTTTAGACACAGCCTTTCATTTTAGATGTAGTTGTGTATTTTATGACTACGTTAAATTTACACAATGCTTCTCTCTTGAAAATATTTCTAAAATAGTCATTTAACAAACATTTATTAAGTGCATACAGTGTTCTAGAATGTTCTAAGTGCTGGGGCATAATGATAAAGCTGTCCCTGTTCTAAATGCACTCCTTGCCTAGGATTTATATAGCAGGCTCAGAAAGTCCAGATAATGTCAGGAATACAAGGAGAAAATTATTTCTGAAAATATAAATGTTTCTATAGTATGAGAAATAGGTGTGGATAACTTGACTTATTAATCGCCATCCAAGAGCTCAGTCTACTGAGAAGTCACTGCACATCAGAGTATTTAAACTCATCACGGTCAAGGGTGTCATATGATTACAATTAAATATACGGTATGCACATGTGACTCAGACACCAAGTAGTCTCTGATCTATTTATGAAAGTGGATAGAAGAAAGACTTTTCTTGATAGGAAATATATAGAATGCTCCCAAACTGTTTTATCTTTATATATTCTCTGTAACTTAATTTTGTCAGAACAGAGATTTGATTCTAGTTCAGAACATACAACTCAATATTGTTACATGGTCATTTCTGTCTTTGAACTGCTTGTCAATGTCACTTCAAAAGAAACCTAGATAGATGACCTGACACATACTTTAAAATGTCAGTGTTGAATTATATCTCTATGGTAAGAAGGAAAAACCACACAGAATTTTCACCCACTAGACATATATCATCCTGTTGCTTTGCTTCTCAGCCTTGGTGTCAGTTTCCCATTTGTCCAGAAGCTGTTTCTCTGACAGAAGCATGCCTTCTTTTTATCAGGCAGATCTGGAGTTAAAACTATTTTCAAAAACCCTGCTCAGAAGCTATCTGCTGTCCACCAGAAGTACAGATAAAACCACTTCCATCCTCTGCTCTCCTCTCACAGTGCTCCAAGGACTTGGTTTCCCTTTTGAAAAATGGCTTAGTGATTAGAATAGAATCAGGGTATATTTGTGGAAAGACAAATTAATGGTTAGGCCATGTCAAAACAATAATAGGATTGTGTTATAAATGGCAAGGAATGTAATGTCCACTCCCAATGCTAGTGAGTAGCGAGTTATGGAATCATTATTTGAATTTCTAGTGTCAGGGACAATGCCTCTCAACATGCTTCAGTGAAACAACTCATGGATATAGCCTTTTATATTTCTAAGCATTTCCCAACTCTTATGTTTCTTTTTGTGTAGTACTGAAAAAGAATGGTTTTATAAATCAGGAAAATGTGGGTTTAATCTTGATGCCACTTAAAATAACTGTGTCAACTCGGGCTTACACTCTCTAAACCTCAGATTCCTCACTGGTGAAAAGGGGGAAATGTCTTCAAGGAGATGGAACATAACTCCCTGTCCTTGAGTGTGGACTATACATAATGACTTCCTTCCAAAGAGCACAATATAAAAATGAGGAAAACAAAATGACTTTACAGTGGAGAAACCTGGCCTCTCCCATAGTTAATATCTACAGTGATGAGTCCTGCTGATAGCATATTGCCTTGATATCAAGTCAGGCTCTTTCCTTGTGAAGATGAAAACATTTTTAGTTATTACATATTGTTAAATAATCATGTATTGTTCAAAACACATGTTCCCACCCCACTCATTTGGCCAAATGACTTGCTTTGACAAATGAAACATGAGCAGAGGCGAAGTGTGTCCCTCTGGGCTTCCGTCTTCTGATTGTATCATGCTGTTTTCCCGCTGAAACCTCCACTAAGGCCTCTTTGACTGTCAGCCTGAATCGTAAGTGAAGACAATGAACTACCCAGTGGCAGCTGACCGGTGATAGACATGTGCATGACAGAGAAAGAAATGTTAAGGTAATAAGCTACTAAGATGTTGGGGTCATCTTATGATACAAAACTGAACTTAAGCTGAGGACCTAACTCTAATCAAGCAATGAAGTCCATACCTTTTTCCTTATTTCTCTCCCCTTCTCCTTCATCCTCCGTGTTCCCTCCCCTCTCCTCTAGTAACTTCTCCTTCTCAAATTACACTTACTGATCTCTGAGTTTCCCCTTACTCTAATAACTGTCTTTAGACAAGCATTCCAGCTCCTGTTTTTAAATTTGTTCTCAGCTGTTTCCACCACTTTCATTTTTCTGGTGTTTTCAGCCAGAGGCACCAGTGAATATAATTGGAACTCAAGTAAAAACCCTCTGCTACTAATCTGTCTTGCCCTTTATTCCCCCAACATGGTGTCCTGATGAAATCACACTAAAATTAATATCCAGAAACCCTTTGGAGGGAACAACAAACCATCACAAGGGAAATGAGGGGTGTTTGTAAAAAGGTTAGGAGCTGATTATAGATGTGTAAGTCTCATACTTTTTTTATTTTCTTTTATCATCAGCTATCTCCTGAATCACTGCCCAGTTGCCAGCTGCAAGTTTTAGCTCCAAAGTAAGTCTGGCCAATTCTGAAATACTAGGTGACTCATCCAGTCTTCACCCAGGACTTACTGAAGCATCCAAAATGACATAAAATGTAGCTCTCTTATCCTGAAATATCTGTACCTAGTAAATGATGCAAAGGGCAAAGGGGCAGAAAGGGCTCCTCTTAATCATGTCCAATTTCAAGTTTGTATGCATGCAAATTATATGAGAAAATAATATCATTAGATTCATTCAACTTTCACAAAATCAAACTGTCCTATCAACCATCTTTGCAGAAGCAGCATCCACAGCACAAAGCCAGAAAAATCTCTGAAGGGGCGGTGCTGTCAGAGAATAGCAGAAGGAGTTGGTATTATCAAATCAGGCACAGTTTATATCAGCTTCAAGATTTCATTGGCACAGAGAATGAGGACTGCTCACTGACTGCAACATCAGGTAAGCACACACACAATGCTTTCTAGTCCTGTAAAAGAGATTGAGGAGTGTGTGATTTTCCTTCTCAATTTCAGTCTTAGAATTCACATTACCCTCTAAGAAGTTCATTTATCTGTCTCATGTGAACATATAGGCTAGGTCAGGTGAGTGTTGCAGGCATCTTGGAGCAAAATTTTAGGAGAAAGTCGGCCTGCAGTATAGTTGGTTATTTAAGAGTAGCCCAAGTATCTCCATGAAAGTTCTGTTGACACAACTGTGCTAGGGGTTTAAAGGTGACTGTCACACAGGAGTAGAGTATTACAGTGGGAGGGGAAAGAACATCATAGAGTTTCAGGAAGATGCAAAAGTTCTAGAAAAGATCCTGGTATATGATACATTTTTTCTGGTACAAAAACTTAAATGTATAGTTCAGAAAGTTATAAAATTGTCCAGTTTGTTTTACCACAATTCAAAATGAGACAAAATTTGTATAAACCCAATTCCAAATCCTGTTAAGATACGATGGTAATTGGGGTTCTGTAGCTTCTAGAAAGCTGATGGGTCAATTTTCACAATGTATAAGAATCTTCAGAATTTCCACTACTGTTCCTCTTCAAGCTAAGAAAGAGGGAGAAAAGAGGAGAGTGATGGATGGGACAGTCTACCTGGAAAATATTTAATTGCCTTACAGGTTTTTTTTTTTAGTTCAGCAAACTGGTCATTTTTCCAAACTCACCATGGAAACTTCTGTGGCCATAGATTTCTCTTTTCCTATTCCTTGCTCATTGTTTTGGTGTGTGTGTGTGTGTGTGTGTGTGTGTGTGTGTGTGTTATCCTATTATCTACTTAAAATTTTTTTTTAGAGTTTCTTTATGGGAGCAAGACCTAATTTTCTGAACACCTTTTTCATGTACAAAGTTCATAACACTGTCTTGATAAGGATTTTTTAAAGTATATTTAGAACATGGCTTAAACCATCTCCTTGAAGGCAAAGCAGGAAAGTCATATGTTAAATATTCTGATCACCACATACAGTTTACTAGGAAGAATAAATCAATAGAAACAATTAAAAATGTGTCAAATGTAATAAGAACAATTACCCGTCAAACAGAAGATTATCACCTTGACAGTTTGAGACAGAGTTATAAGCCAAGAAAGTGTAGCAATTGAATTCGTGAGAGAAAGGAATGCCCTCTTAATCTATCAAATGCTATATAGCAATATATAGAATGCTTTTCAGAATGTATATTGTTTAGTGTCTTATTAGGACTTGATATAAGGCACTCATGAGGTTTAAATTAACATGATGAATTGCTAATTTGGTGTGTACTGTGGCTAGGTCATTAATAGAAAACTTTGTTATTTAGAAAACATCAATATTCAAATATTAGCATATTGCTCAGAAGACGTGGAGGATGGGCAGAGCACTAATGGCCAAGGTCAGTAGCTAAGGGGAGAATTCCCTGAATTGTTTCTAGCTTGAAAGTCTATGCCTAGACAAGATCTTTGAATTGAAGGAGAATGGAAAAATAGCCTTAGATTTTGGGGACATGGTGAATGCATTCTTTCTTGGAATGGGTGTTAGACTGCTCAAGGATATTTATTTCTTTGTATATATATTAAGTCTAGATGTTCCTTGTATAAAACAATAGAATTTCTTTGTATATTAAGTCTAGATATTTGAGGTTACTTGGTAAGTAACATAATATGCATATAAGAAAGGAATAATAAGTACTAGTATAAATACATAGAGAAAAATTGTTCTGGATGTTTGTATAAGACAATAGTATTAGTCATATCACAGAACTGACCTATAAATTCATTTAAATTAAATGTACATATTTTTGTCAATAACTTGCCTCCATGTTGAAACCTTTTCTCTCAACCCCTCTAACACCCCTCAAAAAAAAGAGAGAAAGTTCAGAAATTTTTCTCTATTCTATCAGTACTCCTAAGAAGTACTTATTTTAACTTAAATTCATCATTCATCACTCATTTCACTGGAGTAGTAACCCTCAGCTTTTCATTTTAGGAGCTACATTCTGCCCATTTGTGGTGATTTTGTTTGTGTCCTCCTGATGGAGTAAAAAGGAATTGGCACATTTGTACCTTTGCTTGTGTGCTCCCTCTGTCTGAATCGCTCATGGCTCTAAAATCAGTAAATGTTATTCATCCTTTAAGCCTAGGTCAATGGCATCTTCTTGAAGATTTTGCTATACACAGTAGGCAGTCAATAATCAATCTGATTATTTACATGTATTAAAACATTATGGCCATATACATAAATCTTTCAAACAGATTTTTCTTTTTCACAAAAATTACTTCATATAGTTGCTGATTTCTAGCTAGTGGTGTTGGATTTAAAGCTAGTGGTGAGACAAGTATCAAATGATTTCCCTCATTTGTGGAGTATAACAACAAAGCAAAACTGAAGGAACAAAATAACAGCCAACTTACAGACTCCAAGAAGGGACCAACGGTTACCAAAGGAAAGGGGGTGGGGAGGGTGAGTGGGGAGGGAGGGAGAATGGGATCAAGAGGCATTATAATTAGCACTCACAATATAGGTAGGTCACAAGGAAGGCAGTACAGCACAAAAAGACAAGTAATGACTCTATAGCATCTTACTACACTGATGGACAGTGATTGCAATGGATTGGGGAGGACTTGACAATATCGGTGAATGTTGAAACCGCAGTGTTGCTCATGTGAAACCTTCCTAAGATTGTGTATCAATGATAGTTTAATTAAAAATAAATAAATAAATGAAATGAAATATGGAGGTAAGCACCAAAAAAAGACAAAAAAAAGCATTATAGATAACTTATCAAGGTTTAAAGTTAATAAAAGTACCATCCTCTTCCTGGATTAAAAAAACACAAAAACTAGCAGTGAGTTTCAAAGATTTGAATTGAGTGTTTCATACCGCCTCTACTAATTACTAGTTAAAATGAGAATTCTAGGCTCTTATATTACAATGGTGGTTGTTTTTGTTTTTGCTTTTTTCCCTACAGTTATATCTTAGCTTCTTTCTTTTCTTTTCTATTACTTTGTGCAGCAGAGTGGACCTGTCATTCTGTGTACCTTACTTCATCATGATTACTCTTTTCTAAACATTCATCACATGATAATTAATCCAGTGATGTATTATCATATCTGAGAGCATGTCATATCCAGGAACTGTTCTTATACTCCTTTATTACAGCTCAGTTTTTCAACAATGGAAGTAAGCATTTTTTCTAAAGGAACTTTGTTTTTTGAGGGTTTTTTTAAATATGTAAAACTGAATGTTTTTTAGTATCATTTTTATCATTTCTGCTACGTGACCTACAATCTTATTTTTATAGGTGAATTGCCTGAGATGTTGACTTTGGCTTCCCAGGAGCCATTTATGCTTACTTTCTGGTTTGTATTGTGAGTACCAAACAAGTGATTCCAAATTAGCAAGGTATTAATACATTAAATAGGACATGGGGTTCTTAAGAAGTGTATGTTAGTGGATGACATCTGAATTCTTCTTAGGGAGACAAATGTTCTTGAAAAGGAAACTGCCTACGGAGTGGAAGATGGGAACCAAGGATTATAACTCGGAAGGAAATATATGGAAGTATTACCTAACTGTTTAGCATGGAAAGCTATTAAAAGTTTGGCAGTTTCAGTGCAAAAGAGAAAAATGAGATTGGGTTTATCCATACAAAAGAAGTGCTCAGATTTTATGGCAGAACACTGGAGCCCAAAGAAAGCTGCTTGGTGAGTAACTCCTGCCAGCAGGGCTATGGAAACAGTTTCAAGAAAAGGATTATCTAATATGCCATTTCAAATTGTTTTCTATAAAATTTTGTGCTGTAATGCCCTTCTTCTGTGCCTTAAAACTTAAGAGAAGTCATTGACACAAATAATTGATACCATTTTAGAGAAATCAAGGAAAAGTCTTTACCCTTCCCTGTTTTGTGTAAGAGAGAGCAGAAAGAATTATCACTGGGGATGAGATAACAGTAAGACTCAGAATTCAACAAGAATAGGAAATGGAACTACTGGTATCCATGGAAATACCACTTAGAAGATATCTCTCTGAAGGTGAGGTGGTGGGGAAAGGGAATGGGTTTTCTACTTTCTGAAGGGATAGTAGTGTTGAGTTGATTTTATGTTCATCTTAAAAAGGGTGTTAATTTGGTTGACACTTGGGACATACCTATAAATGACAAATACCAAAGCTATAAAAATTATTTTTGAAATTTTTATAGAAGACAGTGCTATCAGTACAAATATGTTTTCTTTGTCATCTTATTATGTCATATTTCTTATGACTTCCATGTGTGTATGCAAACACTGGGATGTGAAGAGGGTTAATGACTTTCTGAAGGCCAATCTCTAAGTTAGAGGTGGAATGAAGAGAATACAAAACTCACAATTCAAGTTCAGTTTATGAACTGTAAATACGGTGGTAAGAATAGTTAATGTCTGACTTCATTAGCTGTGTGATATTGGGCATGTATCTCACTAGTGCCATGTCTCAGGGTTTTGTTCTGTTCTGTTTTGTAAAATAGTCAATAATAATACTGAATAGTTCTGAGAATTAAATAATATAACATATGCAAAGCATTAAGCACAGTGCCTAGATGAATATTAGTTAAAGTATTCACATTTCTTTTAATTCATATGGGTCCAGAAAACATTGTCTGCAAACATTGGATAAGGAATTTTTTAACAATTTAAAATTTGGTTTTAAAGTATTTTGGTTTTTAAAGTATCTTTGCTTTTTAGCCCACATCAGTTTCAATCTCATGGACACTATAAATTCATACTAATTGTACAAAGTCTAAAGGTAAATCTCAGATGACCCAGGAGCCTCAGATCCCTTGAATCCTTCTGCCAGTTGATTGTCATCCTGGGACTAAGTTGGCCTGAGCTCAGGCATAATCTTAATTGGATGCCTCACAAACTGAGGAATCAGTAAAAGAATCTGTAGCAGCTAATCGTACAAGAGCCAAGGTCCATCTGCATGTCAAATTATAATGCTCCTGCCCCACCTTATGCCAGAAAATTTTCCAAGTTTCAGGAAATTTATTAAGTATCAGAGTTTAGGATTTCCTCAATTTTCTTGAATGTGGTTATATATATCATACATTAGAGATGATGGAAGGGATTTTTTAAAAATCATGGTAAAAGGCAACTCTTCCTTAAAATTGAGAAAATTGAACCCCAGGAATGTTACTAATTTTGCTGTGATTGCACAGCAAGTCCTTTCATTGAAGTAAAAATGAAGACTAATATGGTCACATATTAGGAAGTTAATTTTTGTTCAAAATTTACTGAGGTTTAATTGAAATACAGTAAACTGCATATATTTAAAGACTATAATTTGATGACTTTTACCTATGTATAGACTATGTGAAACCTTCCTAAGATTGTGTATCAATGATAGTTTAATTAAAAATAAATAAATAAATGAAATGAAATATGGAGGTAAGCACCAAAAAAAGACAAAAAAAAGCATTATAGATAACTTATCAAGGTTTAAAGTTAATAAAAGTACCATCCTCTTCCTGGATAAAAAAAAAACACAAAAACTAGCAGTGAGTTTCAAAGATTTGAATTGAGTGTTTCATACCGCCTCTACTAATTACTAGTTAAAATGAGAATTCTAGGCTCTTATATTACAATGGTGGTTGTTTTTGTTTTTGCTTTTTTCCCTACAGTTATATCTTAGCTTCTTTCTTTTCTTTTCTATTACTTTGTGCAGCAGAGTGGACCTGTCATTCTGTGTACCTTACTTCATCATGATTACTCTTTTCTAAACATTCATCACATGATAATTAATCCAGTGATGTATTATCATATCTGAGAGCATGTCATATCCAGGAACTGTTCTTATACTCCTTTATTACAGCTCAGTTTTTCAACAATGGAAGTAAGCATTTTTTCTAAAGGAACTTTGTTTTTTGAGGGTTTTTTTAAATATGTAAAACTGAATGTTTTTTAGTATCATTTTTATCATTTCTGCTACGTGACCTACAATCTTATTTTTATAGGTGAATTGCCTGAGATGTTGACTTTGGCTTCCCAGGAGCCATTTATGCTTACTTTCTGGTTTGTATTGTGAGTACCAAACAAGTGATTCCAAATTAGCAAGGTATTAATACATTAAATAGGACATGGGATTCTTAAGAAGTGTATGTTAGTGGATGACATATGAATTCTTCTTAGGGAGACAAATGTTCTTGAAAAGGAAACTGCCTATGGAGTGGAAGATGGGAACCAAGGATTATAACTCGGAAGGAAATATATGGAAGTATTACCTAACTGTTCAGCATGGAAAGTTATTAAAAGTTTGGCAGTTTCAGTGCAAAAGAGAAAAATGAGATTGGGTTTATCCATACAAAAGAAGTGCTCAGATTTTATGGCAGAACACTGGAGCCCAAAGAAAGCTGCTTGGTGAGTAACTCCTGCCAGCAGGGCTATGGAAACAGTTTCAAGAAAAGGATTATCTAATATGCCATTTCAAATTGTTTTCTATAAAATTTTGTGCTGTAATGCCCTTCTTCTGTGCCTTAAAACTTAAGAGAAGTCATTGACACAAATAATTGATACCATTTTAGAGAAATCAAGGAAAAGTCTTTACCCTTCCCTGTTTTGTGTAAGAGAGAGCAGAAAGAATTATCACTGGGGATGAGATAACAGTAAGACTCAGAATTCAACAAGAATAGGAAATGGAACTACTGGTATCCATGGAAATACCACTTAGAAGATATCTCTCTGAAGGTGAGGTGGTGGGGAAAGGGAATGGGTTTTCTACTTTCTGAAGGGATAGTAGTGTTGAGTTGATTTTATGTTCATCTTAAAAAGGGTGTTAATTTGGTTGACACTTGGGACATACCTATAAATGACAAATACCAAAGCTATAAAAATTATTTTTGAAATTTTTATAGAAGACAGTGCCATCAGTACAAATATGTTTTCTTTGTCATCTTATTATGTCATATTTCTTATGACTTCCATGTGTGTATGCAAACACTGGGATGTGAAGAGGGTTAATGACTTTCTGAAGGCCAATCTCTAAGTTAGAGGTGGAATGAAGAGAATACAAAACTCACAATTCAAGTTCAGTTTATGAACTGTAAATACGGTGGTAAGAATAGTTAATGTCTGACTTCATTAGCTGTGTGATATTGGGCATGTATCTCACTAGTGCCATGTCTCAGGGTTTTGTTCTGTTCTGTTTTGTAAAATAGTCAATAATAATACTGAATAGTTCTGAGAATTAAATAATATAACATATGCAAAGCATTAAGCACAGTGCCTAGATGAATATTAGTTAAAGTATTCACATTTCTTTTAATTCATATGGGTCCAGAAAACATTGTCTGCAAACATTGGATAAGGAATTTTTTAACAATTTAAAATTTGGTTTTAAAGTATTTTGGTTTTTAAAGTATCTTTGCTTTTTAGCCCACATCAGTTTCAATCTCATGGACACTATAAATTCATACTAATTGTACAAAGTCTAAAGGTAAATCTCAGATGACCCAGGAGCCTCAGATCCCTTGAATCCTTCTGCCAGTTGATTGTCATCCTGGGACTAAGTTGGCCTGAGCTCAGGCATAATCTTAATTGGATGCCTCACAAACTGAGGAATCAGTAAAAGAATCTGTAGCAGCTAATCGTACAAGAGCCAAGGTCCATCTGCATGTCAAATTATAATGCTCCTGCCCCACCTTATGCCAGAAAATTTTCCAAGTTTCAGGAAATTTATTAAGTATCAGAGTTTAGGATTTCCTCTATTTTCTTGAATGTGGTTATATATATCATACATTAGAGATGATGGAAGGGATTTTTTAAAAATCATGGTAAAAGGCAACTCTTCCTTAAAATTGAGAAAATTGAACCCCAGGAATGTTACTAATTTTGCTGTGATTGCACAGCAAGTCCTTTCATTGAAGTAAAACTGAAGACTAATATGGTCACATATTAGGAAGTTAATTTTTGTTCAAAATTTACTGAGGTTTAATTGAAATACAGTAAACTGCATATATTTAAAGACTATAATTTGATGACTTTTACCTATGTATAGACTCAGGAAACCATCACCACAGTCAAAATAATGAATATATCCATGACCCCCAAACGTTTTTCAATGTCTCTTTGTGATCTTTTCTTTCTGCTCCTCCTTGCTCCCTGCCACTCCCACCCATTATCACAAGACAACCACTGATCTGCTTTCTACTATTATATTTGGATTTGCATTTTCTAGAATTTTTGTGAATAAATTTATGTGTTATCTATATTTTGGCTTCTTTCACTTCAAAAAACTATCTGGAGGTATATCTTTACTTTTGCATGTATCAATAGGTGTGCCCTTTTATTGCTGAGAAGTATTCCATTCAGTGGATATACCATAATGAAATTATTGATTTACCTA